ACTAAATCTCCTAGAGTTATTCAAGAATTATTTGGGTTTAGGATTTATTATTTGAGATTTAGAGTTTATTATTTGGAATTTATGGTTTATTATTTGGGGTTTTTAAGATTTAGTATTTGTGTTTTAGATTTAATGATTTAATCTAATTGTTTTTGTTAATTGTATTAATTATTTTAATTTATTGTCTATATGTCATAATTAGGAAAAAGAATTAGTGATTTCCATAATTATTTTTGTGATTTAATTTAATATATTTTTTAACTAAATTGTGATTGGCTAACAGGGATGGGTGAACCCAAGAATTGTTCTCTTTAGAATGACAAACACGAGAAGTGRATAACTCAGGAAAATCCACTGTGATTGTCTCCATATCATCATCCAATGGGCTATAGAATTTGTAAGAGACGCTTTTTCGGGAAGTACGGTACATAAGCCAGGGAGATCCTACCACACGAACCGAAACAGCAGTTTATGCCATGTCTTGCAAACTGCAGAAGCACGGATGTTGAATTTCAATGGAAGGTGGGAGATTATGAGAGCTAAGAGTTCTAAGGGAAGATCATTAGACTCGTTTCCATTGTTCTTCATGGCTGAACTTAACCTAGCAGGATCAAAGCACAACCAAACCCTAAATTCCTCTGATTTCTCTATCAATTCAGGAAGACACGCGCAAACACAAGACATTGATGAAAACAATTTAGAAATCTGCCTTGAAACGAAAACCACAGAAATTTTTGTATAAGAAAAGGGTAAAAGATGAAGGAGAAGGAAACTTACGATCCAAGCGAGAGAGAAAACCTRAGAGAAAGTTTGCGATCAAAGTCAAGGATTAAGCCTCCTCTCTACTTTATTTTAGGACTTTAATAAGGCTTAACCTAACCGTCCAAGGTTGAAACGATGGTTTTTAAAGATGAAGAAGATCTATTTTCGACTAAAAAAAAAAAAATAAAGATTTATTTAAAAATTGACATACCTTGACCAAATTTAGAAAGGAAATTATGACAATTTCAGAAAAGGAAGGTTTGAAAACTCA